GATTTCAGAGCTGGAACCTCTCATGGGGCACAGTGGAGGAGAGAGGGTCACCTGGAGTGCAGTGGGTTTGGGGCTGGAGCTTTTGTCTACCTGAGCAAATCTGTTCCTTCTGTCAAAAAATTTAATTTAGAAAGGTGATTTTGGTCATGGCCCTGTGCTTGGCTCTGGCAGGAATGATGTGGGCTGTACCTGAGCTGAAGCTGGCATCCTGATTTATTTCAAAAGAGTGTCCAGGGAAAACACAAAGGCTTTTCCTGCCCCTTGGGAGCTGATCACACCACGACCCAGCTGCCTTTTGCACACTGAGTTTCCCAGCAGCTCCATGTGGCCCTTTCCCCTCTGTGCTGATGGAAAGGCTTTCCCTGGCAGCTGTGGAATGCAGGATTTTGCTCTGTTCTAGTTCTGTTCTGGATTGTGGGTGGAGTTTCCAGGTATTTTCTGGATGCACCAGCAGCCAGGTGATGTGGGCTGTCCATCAACCACTGCTTTATTTTTTACTCCTCAACGCCTGCCCTGGACAAGAAAATATTTGGATTTCCAAACTCCTAACTCTCCCTGAGAAAGATTTAAATGTTAAGTTACCTTTTAGAGTAAAATCCATGTATTTTAGCTCCAGTGCTCAGGGATTAACCTGGTCTTGTTCTTTGCAATGCAGTGGAACTTGCCGTATTTAATACGCATTTAAATATTTCAATAATGATTTATTTTTAAAAAGTAAAATAGCTACAGGTGCTCTATGCCAGATATTTATGCCACTGAATTTTTAATGTATTTTAAAGATGATTTTTTAATCTGTTTTATCTGAATAACATTCACTGTCATGAAAGATCTTCCACTGCAGGAGATGCAGCATTTCTGTGTTTAAACCTCAGGATTACTCTAAATTAATGAACTGATTATTTAGTTTCTTTTGAAACGCTGATAACGTGCATTTTTTTTTTTTTTACTTTTAGATACATCATGGGCATAGCCAGATATGTGGTTTTGTGCAGTTTGAATGTTATTTGCAGTTATTTAATTGCTGCATCAGCCAAAAGTATCATCAAGGCTCCCCAAACCTGCTGGGAAAAAACAATTCCTTGTTTTTTCCAAGAATCATGATGTGGATCAGCACTTTTTGACACCATGGGGTTCAAAGTGGGTGTTGAAGGCTGAGAGACAGAGAGAAGGGAGAGATCGTAATTTCCATGGGAGAGCACAGGCTAATTCCTCCTTGCGTTGTTGAATTCTCCAGGACTGAAATCCTGAAGCATTCCCTGAGGAACAGTAATGGCTCCTTGTCATTAAATACCTTGTGAACATTGCAGTGTACATGATTACCAGAAAATCACTGTCACTTCCTATTTTTTGTATATAATTATCAGAAAATCACAGTCACTTGCTATTTCTCCTGCTTGTGTTTGTCTATTAAAACACCAAAATCTTTTAAAACTTCTAATGCTTTTAGAATTTTGAACAGAAACTGTTTTATCCTCTGGAGAGGATCAGCCCTAAATGCTTGAAGCACCCAGTGCTCTGAAACAGAGAGAAGAGTTTTGCTCTCACTGCTCCATGTTAAGCTTTGAGTGACCTCATCAGTTATTGGATTTAGGAGTTTTCCTTCCAGCCTTTTGTCTGAAAACACTTTCCTTCTGCATCTCTCACAAGGATTCTCCTTGAAAGGCTCTGTAAATCACCAAAATCCTTGGCGGGGGAAAACCCCTAAAATCCCGTTTAGAATCTCTGAAAAAGTTTTCTCTTCCCAAAACAATTCTGAGCATTCTCCACACCCCAGTGTGACAGAGTGACGCTGTGTTTGTGCTGCTGGGACAAAGGCAGCTCTGTCCCCAGGAAGGAGCCAGCTGTGCAGATGGGGTGGCAGAGGGTGACAGTGAGCGTGGGGCTGGGATCACAGCTCCTCTTGTGCTGCCCCTGCTCCCTGGGGAAACAAGGGCTGCAAAAATCCCCTCCCAGCTGCCCTCGGGGGCTTTTGTTGGCTCTGAATTGAAATTATGTCATCATGGATCTGGGTTTGGATTTGGGAGGAGCCAAGTTAGATGTTGGAGCTGCCCAGACACAAAACATCCTTCTTGTTGTCCCATCAAAGCATCTCATTGAGTCCCAGAAAGGCCACAGCCCTCCACATGAAAGCAATGAAATTATTTATTTGCTATTAATGAGTTATAAATAATCCATAAGCCCACTATATATTTTGGTTATTTCAATCAAGTTTTTGGCTCAGAAAGGAGAAGGAACTCTTTATTACCACTCATGGATTTAATTTTGCAAACTGCTGGTCTGAGTGTATTTACAATGTGCACAAATGTACCAAAAATGTGGTGTACAAACTGTTCCTTGCCAAGAGTAAGACCTGACACAGTGAGACATTCCACCTCAGAAAAGGGCTCCATCCTTCTTTGGGCCACACAGGGATGGTTGTCAGCCCCCAAACATTCCCAGGACATTTGAAATGAGACCTCTCTGGTCTTTCCCAAATCTCCTTGTAAAGAAAACCCAAGCATAGAACCCATCAGGATGATGTGTGTGCACAGTTGTGAAATTAGAGCACATAGGTGAGGTGAACTCCACTGTTATTTATACAGAAATAAAATCCTGCATCAACCCTTGCATCACATTAAAATTTTGTTTTCTTTTGGATAACGGATCATAAAAATATAGATTTCTCAATATACAGCAAGATATAGCTCAGCAAAGCAGGTATGGATTTAGGCATGAGGATCAATGGCCAGTCAAAAGGAAGATCAGTGTTTAAAGAGCATTAAAATGACCATTTTAATTAAAAAAGCAGGGGGAAAAAGAGATTAAGGCTCAGGAAGCTGGTGGAGCTCTGTTCCCTTTATAACTACTATTTGTTTGAAGCACAAATGTAAAATCACTTTTTTGGATTGGTAAATTCTAGGGTGAAAAATCAGATTTTTTTTTTCATTTGTTACAAATTCCTACTTTTATTGTCCAAAGGAGAATTTTTACGTTGCTTTGAGAAATTTTTACAGCCAAGGGTGCAGGGTTATGGTAATGAAATCACAGAATCATGGAATGCTTTGGGTAGGAAGGGACCTTAAAGCCCACCCAGGACACTTTCCACTATCCCAGAGTGCTCCAAGCCCCATCCTTGGACACTTCCAGGGACCCACGGCAGCCACAGCTATCATGAACCTCTGTAATTAACTTAAAATTCTTCTTCTCACATCTTTGAACTCGATTCTTATACTCAAATACTCATATATATTTATACTTTATAGTATGCACACACATATACATTTATATCTGTATAAACTTACATGTACTTTTCCCCTAAATATTCAATATTTAAGAACTGAATCAGAGGATAATAACAACTGATGTGGTAAAAGGATGAGGACCAAACTTACCTATTGATCTGCTGGGGATGAGTAAAGTCAGAGTATTGTACCAAAGAGAGAAGATCATTTTTATACATCTCCATCCTGTTCATACCACTTTCCTTAAGCATAATGCACTTTCTCAGAAATTGATTTTTTTGAAAGTGGCTATGATAAAAAATAACTCATCTTCCTCTCCAGGAGTATTTCATTCCCATAACCTCATTTGAAAATATTCTTGCATCAAAACAAGCACTTAAAATACCTGACTAATCTAATGCTGAGGCTCCCAGCAGTGACTCAGGAGCACACTCATTTTTATTGGAAGTGCGCTCACTGATTTCAGCAGGGCTTTGGTACCTTGGAGTGGCATTTGACTGTGAGCCCCCTAAATAAGAGGAGTAGAATGATGTAACTCTGACCACGTGCCAGTTCTCATTTCATCTTGGGAGCTGGGTTCACTTCATTCCCTACTGGGCAGGCTCCAGTTACTGAAGAAATTCTAAATTAAAGGTTCTGGCCCCTCAGCTTGGGAAGGACCTTGGGACACTGAGCACATCCAGAGGGGACAGCGAGGCTGGAGAGGGGCTGGGAACACAAACCCTGAGAGGAGTGAAATAGTAATTCCTTTCCTGAACAATCAATCCCAGGCTTTAACCTTTCTTAAGTGTCCCAAATGGGTTTGTTTACAATCCAGTTATCCCATTTATTAGAGATTTCATTCCTCAGCCACCCTGGTGGGGGTCGCTGTGCCAGAGCTGCTGTGCACTGAGTGATTCTGTGCTCAGGGGCTGCTGCTCATCTGCCAGAGTGGCAGTCAGTCCCCAGCCAGGCCTGCCATGGAATCACTTCTGTTTTGGAAACGTTTCCTTTATGCTGTGCACAGAATCCTAAAAGCTTGTCATGGAAATTAAAAATTAACGCGCATTTAATTCCGCGCTTCTTGGGCCAGAGCTCTGCCCCATCAGGGGCAGCACAGGGGACACACAGGGACAGCAGCAGCTTTTTGGGATCCTGGCACACGGATGGAGCTGTGGGAGGAATATCTTCCCTGGATCATCACTTTGCTCTCAGTGCCACGACAAAAATACGGGAAGTCACCAGAGGTCCAAAGCTGGAACCACAGACTGAACTGATTCCTTGGAACTGGGCTTGGGCAGAGGGAAATGTCTGCATCATGTGCAGTGTGGGGTTTTAAACCTTAAGAAAACCTGGTTTGGTTATAAGGCCCATCTGATCACACACCTGGTTTTCCTTGGCGTGTCAGCCACTGTTTATTTTGCCTGCAGCATTTTCTTAATAACCTCTAATGATAGTTGAATTTGACCTCGATTTAGTGCTGAAACCAGACATGTCTGCAATTCTCTTTTCCTCCTTTTAACATTTCTGGAGCTCTCATTCCTCTGCTGTACCTCACCCCAGCACCCCTTACGCAAACACATATTCTCATCCAGCTGCAAGCATGTATTTTTGAGAAAAAAGAAGAAATTGGAGTTATCTGTAGAAATTAAAGACAGAAAATCAGTCTATCAGATAAGCTCACAAAAGCCAGCCATGCATCCAAAATCTTCATGGGTCGTTTAATAATTAACTGGATTCTGAAATGCTGGTTGATGTTTTTCAGCTCAAGAACTTGTGCTTATTATAGGCACAGTCCAGTGTGTTTGTCTCAGCAGAGTGGAACACAACCTGGAATTTTTATTCTTCTCTGTGCAAAGAAAAATCAAGGAATCATGGAATTGTTGAGTTTGGAAGAGACACCCAGTGATCACTGCCTTGAGGAGCCTGTTCAGTGCCCAACCACCCTCTGGGGGAAGAACCTTTTCCTAGTAAGATTTATTTACAGATTTAAATATGTATTCATATATATATATATAAAATCAGTAACTGGAGTAAAAAGATAATTGAAATTCCAGCACGTTTTTTTCACATTTTTTCTTTAAATATGGATGTCCTTATTTGTTAAACGAACCACAAACCATTAAATGTCCTCAAGGAGAAGGAACTCAGACAATATGTTAAGCTGGCTGATGAATTACATTTAAAACTCTTTTTTTAGATCATGAGCTTTAATTATGATCTCTGTGTGCTTAATCTGTGGTCCGTGTCCATATCCTTTGAGGAAAGGTTTCCTTTCACCATAATTAGCACTATTGTGGAAGATAAAAAGTGATAGTGAGAAGTCACTGAGGAAAAGATTTTGCTTTGTAAAAACCCATTTCAGGGAGACCTTCCCTGGCTGTTCTTGGGGAGAGAGGGGCCCATCCCTTCACCCAGCAGGGCCACAGAACAGCAAAAACTAACAGTAAGGTTAGGAGTAAATCTTCTGTCCTTGGGCATGTGTAACAGCCAAATTGACATCCTCAATGTCATGCTTTTTATAGACTACAAGGGTGTTGGGTTGGTGTTTTGTTAATCAATGGTTTGTAATTATAGTTCATATTTTTGTTTGGTTTTTTGGTGGGTGAAAAATGGAGGAAGAAGGTGATTTGTTGTGGTGTTGCCTGGGGAGTTGGTTGTGTGACTTGGTATTGGGGGTGTTTGGTTAGGTGGTGTGTAATTTAGGGGTTGGTTGTGTAATTGTTTGTTGGATTGATGATGAAATGAAACCATGCATGGGACTGGGTCCAAAACTGAAATATTTACTCCCAAATCACTCTTTCCTCATATTCCTTTGCCTTGAAGGAATCACATCCCAGTTCCCCAATTTCCTATTGCAGAAGCATTTGATTCTCAGGGGGAGAAGGTAATCTGCAAATTGCTCTTCCCATCTCTTCCCATAGACAGTCCAGAAATGCAACTGCACCTCCTGGAAACTCCATTACCCCACTGGAAACACAGGGATACAGCCCAGGGACACAGCTTTAAGTGAGTTATGCCATTGCAGCTCAGGTCCTCAGCTTGGCTTGGGATTCAATGGAATTTCTTAGAGTTGTTGATACTCTTTGCACCTCTCCACTTGTCTGCCCCTGCCACAGGAGCAGGGAATGGTTTGGATTGGAAAGGAGTTCAAAACTCATCCATTCCATCCCTGCCATGGCAGGGACACCTCCCACTGTCCCAGGTGCTCCCAGCCCCAGTGTCCAGCCTGGCCTTGGGCACTGCCAGGGATCCAGGGGCAGCCACAGCTGCTCTGGGAATTCCATCCCAACCCCTCCCCACCTTCTTTGGGAACAATTCCCAATTCCCAATCTCCCATCCAGCCCTCCTCCTCTGGAATCTCTCCATGGAATCTCTCCATGTCCTTCTCATGCTGAGCACCCCAGGGCTGGATTCAGAGCTCCAGGTGGGGTCTCACAAAAGCAGAGTAGAGGTGGAGAACCATCTCTCTAATCCTGATTAAATATATATGATATAAAGCTTTGTAGGTCAAATAATTTACAATTTTAAGCTTGTTCTTTGGATTTTGCGAAAGGGGAGAAAATTTACAATTCTAAACACCTAAGTCTACACTCCATGAAAACTTAATGGTTTAATTTTTCTCTTATATATCTTTTATAAACTCTCCTCTGAGAGGGGCTCCCTGCCAGATTTCAACAAGACCCTGTGCTGTTCCTCTGCTCCTAAACCTGCCTGTGCTTCCCATGGACTGCCCTGGGAACAGGGATGGGAAATATCCTTCTGTCACAAGGAATTGTGGAGTGTGTGCTGGGGCAAAATGAGTGACAGTGAGATGTGCCTTGCAAGTGTCAGGCTTGATGGGAAATGATGGAATGAGTGTGTTTCCTCAGGAGAACCTGTCACAGCCATGGGTGAGGAAGTGATGAACTGTGCTTTGAAGAAGTCTCATCCTCTCCCTTTTAAATGAATGTGAAGAGGAAAAAAAAAAACCTCCCAGAGATAATTCCCTCCCCAGAGGCTGTTTGCATAAGAAAAAAGCATCAGGAATTAAATTCTAGGGGAACTTTTTATTCCCATGGGGTTTCTTCTTCTGGTTTAGAAAGCAGGAAGAAACATATATATATATGTGTGTGTGTGTGTGTGTGTGTGTGTGTGTATAATTATATCCCATGGGGTTTCTTCTTCTGGTTTGGAAAGCAGGAAGAAACATATATATATATATATGTGTGTGTGTGCGTGTGTGTATGTATAATTATATAATGCAGAAATTGTACAAATAGTGGTTGAAATGAAGAGAGGATTCCTCCAGAAGCCCCTAATTGAATCTCACACTTAATTGCACCCTCACTGAACCTCAGGCTCAGGGATTGGCTTGGCCTGGGAATTCCACAGCATCCCACACCGAGAGCCTCTGCAAAGTGGCAGAAACCCCAAAACCTTTACCTTGCTCTTGTTTCCCATCTTTTCTCTGGAATTCTGCCCCTGATTCTCATGCTGAGCAGGAAACCCATCTCTGCTGTCCCAGTCAGAGTTTGTGCTCCAGAACAGTTCGGTGTTTTCAGGTATTCTTAATATGTAAAATATGAGGGAAAAGGGAGATGAGGGAAGGCTGGACAGGGACTTGGGACAAGGCATGGAAGGACAGGACAAGGGCAAACGGCTTCAAACTGACAGAGAGCAGATTTAGATGGGATATTGGGCAGGAATTGTTCCCTGGCAGGGTGGGAGGCCCTGGCACAGGGTGCCCAGAGCAGCTGGGGCTGCCCCTGGATCCCTGGCAGTGCCCAAGGCCAGGCTGGACACTGGGAGCAGCCTGAGATAGTGGAAGGTGTCCCTGCCATGGGAGGGGAGGAATCAGATGAGTTTTAAGCTCCTTTTTAACCCAAACCAACCAGTGATTCCATAAAAAGCAAGTCCCTGAGAAATAATTTAAATTTTGGGGGGTTTTCTTCCTTGTAGTAATTTTTGTCTAAAGCTCTGGAATAGTCACTCCTAGATGGAAAAAAAATGAAAAAAAACCCCCTGTAATTATTTCTATTAATGATATGGCAGGTGAAGTATATTCAGGTCTATCAAAATTTGAGTTTGTTCTTTTAGACAGCTGTATATTTGCTACTCATACATGTGCTCATGTTTCACTCTAAAACTGCCCTGTGCTGGATTTTCCAGATATTCTGCCACTTCCAGCAGTCACATCTCAATTCAGCAAATACGATTTTATTTTAGGATATTTTTTGTTTGTATTTTATGTACTTTAAATATAATATGTGAATAGTGTGTAGTATTATTTATAGGCAGTGTGTACATATATATATATATATATATGTATGTATGTATGTATGTATATATGTAGAGACACACACTCTGTTCATCTCCTGGGAACTTCCCTTCCCTGAGCATTCCAGGAGATCCCTTTACTCCACATGCTCAGAAGGAGAGCACAATATTGCACACCAGGCAAAAATTCCATCAGAAGAGGTTTCTTTTTAAGCACAGCTCTCTAAAACTTCAGATTTGTAACTTTGTTCCACTTTTCCAAGTAATAAAAAAAAAAGAAAAAAAAGAACATTTTAAGGTTCTATCACTCAACACCAGGGGAATAGAGAGGATACAGAGCAAAAGTTATGATCTTTTTTCTTTGGTGTCCCAGATAATGTACTTTCATATTGCTGACAATTTTTACAAGACTTTTCTCCCTTGTTTCTTGGGAATGGGCAAAGGCACATCACAGACTGAGGAAGGGCTCCATCATCATCTTCCCCTCCTTCCAGCTCTTTCTTTTTTCCCTGTCTGCAAAATTAGTCTGGGGCTTCAGGCTGCCTCCATTTCAACCATTAGGAGAAGCTCATAGTGCCCAATACATCTCATTTTATGAGAAACACTCAAAGCATTATTTATTTTTTTTTTGCTACCTCCACAACCATTTTATTTTCCTGAGCATCAATTGAAGGAGATAAGGCAGAGTGAAATTGCAAAGGGACATAAAAATAATTTGTTTTTTCCCTCTGTGCAACCAATCTTGAGAGGTCTGGGCTTGGGGGACCCTTCCCACTGGGTTTGGGGAATGTGATCCTAATCCCACTTTGTGCTGCCTGTGGCTGGGGTAGAGGGAATAACGCTGGGAGCACACTGGTGTTTGGGAGTCCAGGACTTTTCAGTGTCCCAGAGAGGAGCTGCACAAGAACTGGGCAGGAGCATGGCCAGGACGGGTGGCCTGAGGGACATTCCACACCTTACACTGCCCAGTTTATAAACTGGGGAAACTGGGAGCCACCAATCACTGCTGGGGGGCAGGTGCTGAGCAACTCTTTGGGCATCACTGCTCTGTCTGGGGCTTTATTGCCCCCTCTCTCTGTCTCCTCTTTATTGTCATTAAACCATGACACTCTGCAAAATATTTCTGGTTACACTGAGTGAAATATCTAAAAGTTATTTTAGCTTTTGTCCTTTAAAATGAATGTTTTAAAGGCTCCGACGTCAGTCAAGCACAGGAATAGTCCCAGTCCTTGCTCACACTTAATAAGAGCTGAAGCCTGATGGCTTCAGCACGTACATTAGAGATTCTCCAGCAATTTTATCACTCATTTATCTTTCATTCTGCAGAGTTTGGGCTGCCTGTTCCCCTCCCTGGAAACAGGAAGGAAAAACAGAGCCACCTTAATCACCAAGGTAGGGGGAAATGCATTTTTTATGAATTGCCCTCCATATTTTCCAAGAAGTAAATTATTTCTTACATCTCAAGCTAAAATAAAAGTTGGCTGAGGGAGGAGAGTTGGCAGAACTTTGGCATTTCCTCTGGAGTTCCTGGATTTACATCTGCAGTCTTTGAGCACTGGCCCAGCCCCATGGAATTCCCATGTTTTAAAGGGAATTCATGGATGCTTCCAGCCTTGCCAGCTGGCGGCAACGCAGCAACCAAGCACGAACAGCCCCCATCCAGCCAAGATTTCCAATATTGGTCCCCATCCCCATGCCTTGGAGCAGTTTTAAACCCCTCCTGGAGCAGACTGGGAAAAGGTTCCACTCCCAGCACGTTCATCCATCAGGGATGCACAGCCAGTCTTTTTTTTTTGGTTGAATACATCCAGTGGTTCCAAATTAATGTGGACAGGTCTCATCTTCCTGCTGGGAGGGTGCAGATGTTCTGGACAAAGGCACTGGCCAGGTACTGAAGGAAGGAATCAGGGAGAAATCCAGGATGGAAATCCCATGGCAGATGTTCCTGTGTTTAATATTAGGTGCAGTGAATTAATACACTGCAATTCCTACAGTTTTTCCAGTAAAAAACCCCAACAGCTTCATCTTCCCACCTGTATGCAAAAGAGAGAACATTTTATTATTGTTAAAGGAAAGCAGGAAATCAACAGAAAGGAGCTGAAGGAACAATTATAGAGAAGTTCAATAGATTCAATACCACAAGAGATTAATTCTATAGAGAGGAAAATAGAGATCTGATGGGTGATGTTGCTCATTGTTCATTGCTGCTGTTGGATTTTGCCAGAAGAAATTCAATGTGGCTTTTGTACTTTATTTGCAATGCCTCTCCTTAGTTACAGACTTCAGGATCAGACCTAATTTTGCAAATATTATCTCTAGATTTGATTTCATGAGGTGTTTTGCTCTGAATTTGGGTTTAGATGGAGACAATATGTAATAAATGTAGAATCTCAAGTAGCAAAACCCTTTTGCAGTGTCACTGATCCTGGCATTTTACTGCACATGAGCTGGACCCCTGAAGGAGAGGGGGGATCCAAACTTTCTGGAAACCCAGTTCATCCCTTTGAAGGGGCTTCAAGAAGAAAACTGACTGCAAACTTTTCAGAAATGCTGATTGCAGTTGATTTAAAAAAGAAAAAAACCTAAAAAACATAATAGAGATTTTTTTTTTCCCCCTCTCTTAATCCCTTCAAGGGAGGAGCAATCTTCACAATAAAAAAAAATCAAAAAAGACACATTGCTCTCCACGTGATACCTGAAAACATCTGCCACCTCCTGGGGGCTCAAAGAGAAAGAGAAAAGAAGCTCATGAAATATAAAATGACCCTGGAATCCATATTAATGACTGCAGATTGTTTGCAGGGGCTGCAGTGTCCCCTCAGCGCGTGCCCCCCTGCCCTCAGGACAGCACAGCTCTCTCCTGTCTCCCCCTGCCAGCAGGAAATCAGCAGCCAGGGAAGGCCGGGAGAAATTCTGGGTTTGCGGCAGCAGGCAAGGAAGGAGTTCCTCCCTGGAAGGGAAGGGTGGTTTTCCAGAGCGTGCTCTGCTCTTGTGAGAGCCCAGCTGGAGCTCTGAATCCAGCCCTGGGGTGCTCAGCATGGGAAGGAGTGCTGGAGGGATCCAGAGGAGGCCATGGAGATGTTCCAGGGCTGGAGCCAGGCTGGGACACCTGGGGGAGCTCACCTGGAGAGGAGCAGCTCCAGGGAGAGCTCAGAGCCCTGCCAGGGCCTGAAGGGGCTCCAGGAGAGCTGGAGAGGGACTGGGGACAAGGCCTGGAGGGACAGGACACAGGGAATGGCTCCACTGCCAGAGGGCAGGGCTGGATGGGATGTTGGGAATTAGGAATTAGGAACTGATCCCTGGAAGGGTGGGCAGGGGCTGGGATGGAATTCCCAGAGCATCTGGGGCTGCCCCTGGATCCCTGGCAGTGCCCAAGGCCAGGCTGGACAGGACCTGGAGCAGACTGGGACAATGGGATGTGTCCCTGCCCATTGCCTTAAGATGAGCTTTAGGGTCCCTTCCAACCCCAAACATCCTCTAGCTTTATGATAATGGATGGAGACATTCAACAAACCAAGTTGGTTTGATTAGATTTGGATTTGGATTTGGGTTGGATTGGATTAGATTGGGGATTGGATTTGGTTCCAGCCCAGGATCCAAAGCAGCAACATCCTTTACACTTTCCAGTTCTTGTGCCAGCTCCATCCCTCACCAAACTCCAGTGTCCCACCAAGGAACCTTAGGTGCAGATGTGCTGTCCCATTTTCCCACTTGGGAGTCTGATTTGTTTCCCAGTCATCTGAAACCTCAGGGAAGTTCATTGTCTCTGGAGGTCCAACCAAACCCAAAGGAAAAGGAAAGAATTCCTCCTCATTTAATTTTATTTTGCTGAACTAGTCACAGATGTGGAGCTGGGTGTCCTAAATAGCACATCCATCATTCTGCTTTTGCTTGGATAACGTTTGCCCTTAGGGACTCCCAGGGAATCTGTCTTAAAATTACCAATCCTTTGCCATCTGAAATGATGCAGTTTGCGAGTTCCAAATGAGAAAGAAACTTCAGTTTCCTTCTTGTTTTGCTTCATTTTAGCCACGGATAAATGCTTTGAAAATATTCAGATTAATTTTTTTTTTTCCCATTTGGGCCAAATCCACTTCCATTCATAAAATCACGGAATTATCAAGTTTGGAAAAAAATCTCTCTAAGAGAAAGATCTTTGAGATTATTGAGTCCAACCACAAACTCAGCACTGCCAAGGCCACCACTAAACCATGTCCCCAAGCGCCACATCCACACGGCTTTTAAATCCCTCCAGGAATCCGTAATTTCCCTGGGAAGCCCATTCCAGCCTGACAACCCTTTCTGTGAAGAAATTCTTCCTAATATCAGATTTATGGATGTCTGTGTAGGAGCTGCATAGACATCTGTGTCTTGTTTTTTATTCTTGCCTCACAACCTCAGTGTCCTCTGGGAGGAGTGGGCAGATCTGATCTGGGCTGTGGGAGGGCTCCTTCCGGGTTTAGTTTTGGATAAGTATTCCCTCATATTTCAATGGAAAACTGATCTCTGCCTTAAATGACCAAAGATTATGTTTACATTTATATTTTATTTATTAAAGATTATATTTACATTTAAGGCAAATGCCTTGCCTTAAATGACCAAAGATTATATTCATAACACTTCACAAAGGAAATAGAATCTGAAATAGAATAGATAACATATACAACCAGGGCTGATCAAAAAAAAAAAAAAAAAAAAAAAAAATTCTAAAATTTTTCTGCCTTCCTCTCTATCTTTTCTTGATACCACAAAGAATAATCTATATTTTTAAGATGCAGGCCTGGGGATGATTCCTGGTCCACAGGAATCTTTTCACCTGACAAATCTTTCCCCAATAATGTCATAAAATAAGAAGAAAAGCACCAATTTTGCTGCTGAACAGCCCCAGACACCACAACCTGTGCTGGGTGGGAACCAGGAGGAAGAAAAGATGGAGAATTACAAGTACCAGGCACAGAAAGAGGATTTTCAGGGAACTTGACCCTGCTGAAATTTGATAGATTTATGACTTAATTCCAACTGACCAGGACAAGGATGCTCATACCAAAGGTCAGAGGGAGGCAGGGCCATGATGCAGGAAAAATACAAACAACAGCCTCAGTTTGGCTTGAAGGAAGGAAAAGATAAAATAAATTCTACCAGAGAAATGATCTCCTTAACATGCCCAAAAGCCACAACTAAAATAAGAGCAGAGAGCACAATACAATTAAAAATATGTTTATTATGACATTATGACTGAACCCAGGCCTTGGGAAGCAAACTCCTGAAGGACCAACCCCTAAATTTCTTTCCATCTTTGAGTACTTAGTGATTGATGCATTCAGTGTTCAAAATTTAGTTTTAATTTATTCAAATGTCAGAGAAACCACAGAAAATCCAGCCACTGACCTAGATTTATCCATTCCCATGCTTGAAATTTGGCTTTCACTGATGAAAGATAAAAAGCAATTTACTGTTTCTTGAACTTGGCCATATATAACAATAACAGATGATTAATTATTTTTAAAAGCATTAAATTTAAGTACCTTTTCATTCCCCCTGCAGGTCGGGAAGGCTGTCTGTTATGTTGGTGATAGGATACAAAACAAGATACATAAAAACCTCCCTGGCAAAATCACCCCTGGGTTCCTTTCCTTCCAGCTGGAGCTGCTTTCTTTTCCTAAATTGAAAAACCAAAATTAACAGTTGTTTCCCGTTCGTTGACACGTGATATTTGGGGCTTTTTTAGATTTATTTTTTATTTTAACTTATTGAAACAAGTTCCTGTGGATCTCTGCTGAAATGTCAGCAAGGGGAAGCACAGATCTTTAGGTTTTTCTAAAGGATAATAACCCAATTTACATGGAAAAATGGCATACAGAATTGGTTCTGTCGCTGAACTGGAGGCACAGCATTGCTCCTGGGAGCAGATAAAGCTCTCAGATTCTCTGGGAACATCCAGGGTCATCAGCTGGAGTCAGGACAGGCTTTGACATTCCTGGCTGGTGCCCCCAAAACCACTCAGGAAATAAGCACCCCCTTTACAATCCTGGGACAATCCTTCCCAGTGCTGCTCCTGGGAAAGCTCCAGCACTTTCATGCCATCAGAAACTGAGAGGGATCAGGGAATTTTGCCCCAGGAGGCAATCCCAAGGATCCCAACACTCCTTATCTGAAAAGGGTCCTGAATTCCTGACTGATGGGGATGAATTCTCCCCGTGCACTGCTCACCCACCAAGCTGAATTTCCATGGAAAATTTAATTGTAGCTGTCCGAGGTGTTGGATGGGGCTTGGAGCAGCCTGGGACAGGGCAAGGTGTCCCTGCCCATGGCAGGGGTGGCACTGGATGGGCTTCAAGGTCCCTCCCAACCCAAACCACTCTGTGCTTCTATAAATCTGCAGGTGAGGAATTGTTATTTTCCTCAGAGGCAAGGGAGAGGAGCTGCAGATGGATGGAATAGGTGGAATCCCTCTTTAAAATGGAGAGGGAAGGGAGTCAGGCAAGCATGCAAAATAGGTTCTTACAACATCTGTGCATCAAATATATTTATCCAAACTGCTGCAGTCAATCTTTTCCAGCTGAGTGTTCAGCAGTTCACATCTCCACAAAACCACAGTAACTGTTCCAGGAAGCAAGGGAAATATTCTGCAGTCTAAGGGAAGGAAACTTCAAATCTTACAGGGAAAAACTCGCTCTCCAGGCAGCACAAAGTTACCAATGGACCAAGGACTTGAACTGAATTTCTTTCAACACTTTGATGGGTTAACTGGGACTCCAACATTTCTTACAACTCGTGATGATTTGATGCGTCTGTGTTTTCATATCCACACTCGCATCCCTGATAACTTTTGCTAATTATTGGCCTAAATGGGACTGACTGGCTTGGGGGATGGATGTGCTCAGTGTCACCAGAATAATGGAAAGCTGATAAGACTATCTGAGCTGCTCTGCCCAGCAACTGCAGCTAAATATAGAGGAGTGGGAAGGGGCTGGAAGCCTGCAAGGGACCAGATCCGTGTCCAGCAGTTCCTGGAACTCCACAAACCCAGCCAGGTCTCCTGGACCTTCCCATGGCATTGCAGCCATGCCAATGAACATTAATTGACGCATCTCTAATTGCACCTAATTACTTACACTGAATTATTTAGTGTAGCAAGAGGGAGCATAAGCAGAAGTAATGGGATTAAATTAAGACAGGGAAAAATTAGGTTGAATATAAGGGAAAATTCGCTGGCAATGAGATTCATTAGGATGGCTCCCAAGGGAAATGTTGGGCACTGCTTTGCTGCAGACACAGAAAATTAAGTTAAACCCATATTCAGGAAAATTACCTCGATAATTTGGTACGTCTTTCCCACTTTTAAATTATTGAACTCTTCAGCAACTGGAGTGCTGCACAAGTTTCTGCAGGCAGCTCAGGTGCCAGCCCATCCTAGCAGCTGATGTCTCTGAGGAGATGATTGCCCTCAAAGCGCTTCCAGGAGAGCAGACCCTGTACTTATTCAAAGCAAGTTGTACTTAAACTTTACTGCAAAGCCAGCAATGCTTAACCCGTGGTTAAGTAGTGCTTAAACGCTCCCCAGGGTGGCAGTGATGAGGCAGACAGTTATTTCCCCACTCTGAGATTATAATTATCTCCTGCTCTCCCCGGTAGAAATGAGCGATGGCGGGACATGGGGAGATAGGAGAGCCCTTTCAGAGCAGGCATCCTCAGCACCTGCTCTTTCATCTTGTTTTATCATTTGACCCAGGAGAAGTTAACTGGAACAAGCTCCAGAAGGAGCTGTGAGCACAGTGAGGCATGTGCAGAGGCAGCTTTTATCGTGACATGATTAATGATGTTTGAGAAGGCTGTGAGTGGCAGGGGAGCGAAGGAATCCAAAGCAGGGAGTGAAGATTCATCCCTGCTGCTTACACTGTGCAATGCCACCTCAAGGCAGGCAGGGAGCTGTGAACCTTTACGGGCTTATTCTCCATAAATCCTAAATATGATTCCTTTGGAATTGCCTGGAAACTTCAATGTGGTGACAGGACTCAGAAGATGGAAAAAACCCAACAGTGTGGCCACTGGTGCTTGCTGGGTCTATTTATCTTCATCTGTTTAACAGCTGATGGGGTTTATTTGAGCCTTTCTGGTTGTTTAAATTGCACACCAGCAGCCTCAGCAGAAATTGTGGGGGATTTTGGGGGGAGCTCAGCCAGCCCTCACTGCCAGCAGGATCTCGGGCTGGAGATGAGACCATGCCCACTCCAGGAATCACCAACATCCCAAAGCAGCCTCCACACCCCACAGCTCACAGGACACCAGGCTGCTTCCAGAGTTCACGGAATGATGGAAACTGCACCCTGGAATTAAACTGGAATATGCTTCACAGCTGAAAATAAAGGGAAATTGCCCCTATTTGCAATAAAACAGGAATGAACACACACTCAAAGCCAAACAGAACAGACCTTCCTGGGTTTGTGCTCTGCAATGCTGGGAAAGGCTCAGATTAAAAAAAAAAAAGAAAAAAAAGAAAAAAAAAGGAGTATATTTCCAGGTTTTAAACCTCCCTGATTTGTGCTCTGCAATGCTGGGAAAAGCTCAGATTAAAAAAAAAAAGGAGTATATTTCCAGGTTTTAAGCACTCACACAGACACTGCTGCAGAATAAATACCCATTATTCCCTGTTAATCTAAAGGTAAGGTGTGTCAGCAAACAAAAGCAATCCTAAACCCTTTTGCATTATTTTGCATCTTGTGATCTTTACAAAAATGAAAGGAAAACATCTTAATTGCATGAGTTACCATTTCCTCCTCCTGAGTCACTGACTTCTGCCTCTCTGGAAGCTGACATCCATCAAGGTGAGTCAGAGATATTCTGAATACCTCTTCATTTACAAAGACAGACAGAGGTTTTTCAAGGTCCAGACTGTGCTCAGACTTCAGCTACTCCAACCCTTTGGTATCTTTCCTCAGAACTGCTCCTGATCAATTAGAAAGCTAATTTAAAGAGCCTTTTTTAAACCTTTATTGATGAACTTGAGCATGTCTCTGTAATTTACAGCAGCACACTCTCCCAATTAATCCCCAGTAACTCATTTTTCAGCCCCCACCACCAACATTGCAAAGTTCAGTGATCTATGGCTGTTTCCAGAAGTTATTATTCATTTTACCTCTCACAGCACTGAGGGCCACGTTACCCCTTAACCAGTAACATCATGTCCTGTGATTTAATTGCAGCTACGTGGGGCTGGATGCACTTCCAGGGATCTGCTCTTACCACTGAATGACTCTGCCTTTCATCTCCTCTGAACATGGAGTTCTGAACTTCCATCCTCAAATTCCCGATGGGCTGCAGCAGGAAAGATGAGTGGAACATAAAAAACTTCAAAGACAGCTACTTCAAACTCTTGCAGACTTCCATCTCTCCCTTCATCACCCGTTTTCTCTCACTCTTTTGGTGTAACTCTTGGTTAATGTTTTAATTTCCAGTTCAATTCGGGTTTTTTCCCCACTTGTAGAGGAAACCAAGAGTTTTCTGACTCTGTAGTAGGTTTCCCTGCAGTCACCTGTGCAAAATCCAAGGAAAAAGTAGGTTAATAACCACAGAAAGGCCCTTATGTTGCCTGACAGCTCTAGTGGGCACTTTCCAAGTGTCACTGGGTTCTTTAACCCACAGCCCCAGCACTGATCAGATCATGTGGGAATGATGAAATTCAACCAAACTCAGCTTCCTGCAGCTTTTAGTTCTGTTTTTGTTTCCCATTGTGCTCTGGAGGCTGACAACAGGTGAGGAATGTTATTTTATGGCCTGGTTTCCATCGCTGAGCAGGTCCCCTTTGGTGACACAGAAATCATCAGGAAGATTTCCATTGGACTCAAACTGCCAGAGGGGAGGGCTGAATGGGAGATTGGGAAGGAATTCCTCCCTGTGAGGATGGGGAGGAGATGGGATGGAATTCCCAGAGCAGCTGGGGCTGCCCCTGGATCCCTGGCAGTGCCCAAGGCCAGGCTGGACACTGGGGCTGGAGCACCTGGGACAGGGGAAGGTGTCCCTGCCATGGCAGGGGTGGCACTGGATGAGTTTTAGGGTCCCTTCCAACCCAAACCATTTTGGGACTCTGTGCAATTGTGGTTGTGGTGATACTGAGAGCTTTTTCCAAGGGCTGCTCCATGGATCTGTGGGAAATCTCAGGGGGAGATTCCCACTGGCACCAGTGAAACCAGACCCTGCTGCTGTTCCCAGCTCCACTAAAGTCTGTTTAAACAGAGCCAATAAATCCCATCTCTCCTGGTAACCTCTAAAAGAAACTCTGAGTTCAGGTTTAAATTAACTCCATAATTAGAGTGACAACAATTAAAGAGTGCAAATCCTTATTTATTTGCCCAGCTGTTACCAGCAGTGCTCAAACATTGAGAGTTACAGATATCTTTTAACTTTATCTGGGTTTGTTTGTACAACATTCTGACTAAACAGTAACAAAGCTGGCAAAGTGTGACATCATCCTGTGTCATACCTGCAGTGTGTGGGAGGGAGACAAGGGAAATCTGAGAATCCAAAGCCCACAGACTCCCCTGATGATGAGGGGATTTGTTCCTTCCATAACTCAGAACGTCACAAAAGAGCAATGTAATATTATGCAGTTATTCTCAATAAATATTTACAGTGAATTTTAAGAGCCTATTCCAAAATGTAGACAATTAAACCTTGAAAGGAGGCAGCCAGGATTTAACAGAGTTAATTTCCCACAGCTGATTACTCAAAGTGATTTTACTTTTACTTTTTACACAGTCGCTCTCCCCTCCTTCCCATTTTCTCTTTCCCTCATTCCTGCTGGAAAGCAGGGAAGGTACTGGGATCCTAATGGAGCCTTCGGGAAAACTGGTGCAATTTTTAAACCCTTCACTATGTAAAACCCTCCAAGGGGTGCACGAGGGGTTGGGTGGTGTGGGACAGCCCTGGTGGCCTTTAGGGACAGCCACCACATTCCCAGTGGCCCTACAGCCTGGTGGCATCAGAAGCAGCCCTGATGCTCCCATTCCACAGCTGCCACATGAGTTTTTTTGCTTTTTTTCAGGATCAGAAGAAAATTCTGGAACTGTGCTGGCACGATGTGAGTGCTGAGGTGGAATCCAAAGAATGGATCTCTCAATTGAAGTTCAAAATGGAGTCAGCTGTTATTAGCCCACGATAATTGCACCAGCATCAAAGATAGGTGAGAAAAGATAAAAGGAGCTCTGCACAAAGTTACAGTTTTCAAATAAAAGAATGTGCTTAAGCACCATTTTCCTGCACACCAGTAAGTCTCTGCTTTGAAGGATCTGTTTAATTATCTCCTTTGTTTAAACCCTTGAGGGTGCCAATTCAAGAGCATTTTAGGGAAGAGCACTCCCAGAAAAATCAAAAAACTTCTGGCAAAAAGTCAATTCCACTTGTATTTTTAAATATACCACTCTCAAAAATGTAGTCACTTTGGGTTTTGGTTCCCATCAAAACATCCATGCAGAATGGAAGTGGAGTGGGGGAAAACATCACCTCCAGGAGCATTATTGGGATTTCAGCTCCACAGAGAGCACGGGGCAGGGTAGGAACCCTGTCAGCAATTAAGGAATAATGAATCCACCAGAATAATGGATATTGATTAGGGACATTTCTTTCTGATAAAATGAGGAGAGTCAGCAAAAGGCAGAGATGTTCAACCTAATTATAGTATGAGCTGAGACAAAGTCAAAGCAGTCACTGGGACCAAGTGAGCCTGGGACAAAAAGGAGCAGCACCCTCGACATCCACGGGGACTCAGAGGAGCTCCAGGGCAGAGGGGAGCTCTGCTGAGCCTGAATTTTGTCATGGCAGAGGTGGCTGGGTCAGCTCACAGGCTCCTTGTGCCTTCCCTCCTTCCCCAGCAGCCTGAGCCCGCCACAAAGTGGGGGACATTGTGCTCCTCTGCTGAGCACTTGGGTTTTTAAAAAAAAACAACCTAGAAATTAAGGCTGGGATGTGCAGGGCAGTTTTGCTGTGGAGATTTTGGAAGAATGAGCTGAATCCCAGAGAGTTAAAGGGGTCACTGCAATGGGAGCCCCTTCTGGCCCTGGCAGAGAAGGAGAACTGACTGATGGAAGTGGAAATTCCTGATCCTGATCAGAGGGAGGGTGAGGGCACAGGGACCTGCCCTGCCCAGGGGTGCTGGGGAATGAAGGGATCTTCAACCTGGGGCAGGGAAAAAGAAGAGGAACGCTGTGGCTGTGCTCCCTGGGAGCCTTGTGTCACCTCGGGCTCCTTCCCTTGCCCCAAATTTTATTCAACCATATAAGATCTAATCCTAAAATTATTATTCCTGAGTACAGGGTGGAATATTCTTTGCAATGTTTTCTTTTACTGCTTTTATAACCAGATCTGCTGTGGGGTGGGAGGCCCTGGCACAGGGTGCCCAGAGCAGCTGGGGCTGCCCCTGGATCCCTGGAGATATCCCAGGCCAGGTTGGACATTGGGGCTGGAGCACCTGGGACAGGGGAAGGTGTCCCTGCCATGGCAGGGGTGGCCTGGGATGAGCTTTAAGGTCCCTTCCAACCCAAACTATTCCATAATTCCATAATTGTATGAAAATCCCAAATAAAATATTCTGGAGATTGTTACTCATATTTTTTCTGTTCTAATCAGACTCATCAAATACATAAAATTCCACTTTTTATTACCAAAAAAAAATATTTTCCACACTAGCAAATTGCCTGATTTTACACATAGAAAGATATAAAGACTGTAAGTTTGGAATGATATTAACCTTGTAGGGAAGAAAAATCATTATTACAGTGCACTGTGCAATCTTAGAAGAATTTTTTACATTATTATTACTACTACTACTACTACTACTACTACTACTACTACTTCTACTACTACTAATCAGAATAAATGTTGAATTGCATGCAGTGCTGCAATATTTTAATAATTTTTTTTTTTAAATTATGCATTTTAGTTCTCTATTTTAAATTTTTTCTGTGGTCCCAAGTAGAGTAATGAGAACACAGAGAAGATTTTGAAAGGGAAAGCCCTGGAAGGGAGAACCTGGAGAGGGGGAATGTCTCTCCTGGCTGATTTCCATCAGCAAACAACCACCAGCTCACTTCATTTGTCCCTTGTAATTCCTCCAAATTATCCTGAACTGGCGCCTCCAGGGGACAGAGATCTCCTCTCTCCTCCACGGCACAAAGCTCTGTTATTTTATTTTCAGTGAAATCTCACCAGAGAACCAATTGGAGCAATTTCAGCACAGAATTCCCCTGGGAAGGTGCCCATGACACTCCAGCTTCTCAGCTGATGATAAAAGTTTATTATTTTCAAATTACAAGAGCTCCACAAGGCTTTGTCACCCGCCCTGAGATCAGAGATGTTGGTGCTTGCCATTAACCACGTCTCCAGACCCTGCAATTCCTTCCCTGCCACAGGAAAGGAATGTTCAGGAACTCCAACTTGTTCCCAAAAGGCTCCCTTTGTACGTGGGCAGGAACAATCTTCCAGCTCAGAATTAATACTTCTGATATCTTTGAAGTTCCAGCTAATTCTCCACAGATTCTTTCCGAGGCGTTTTTTGGGATGTTCTTGCTCGTGGTGAGAGCCCCCATGGGACAAAGAGACATTATGAGAAATATTAAAGGCACAAAAAAAGAAAATAATACTTCTAAGATGAAATAAGTCCAACAAGGAAAAGAATGAGCCTGTTATCCTTGGAAAGAATCAAGATGCTTTTTCAAACATTTAATCCCCTGTACTTCCTTGAAAAAGATATGAAGGCTAAAACAAAGAATTGTGATTTTGACCAAAAAAGGCCAAAAAAAAAAAAAAAAAATCCCCTATTTTGCTAGTAGGCACCTTGTGGCTTTTTGAGGTTAACAAGGACCCTGAAACAATTTAACTGCATTACAGTTCTGCATATTCATAAAGATATGCTGAGCAGATAACAGAGCAAATGATTTAATTGAAAAATCAGCCAGTGTGAATATTTTTTCCTGCGAATCATGGAAATGCGACAAGATCTGTTAATTAACATAATCTCATTTATTTGACATTATTCTTGTCACTTAATATAATCTCCCTACAAAGAGGAAAAAATGGAAATTACAAAAAAAAAAAAAAAAAGAAAGAAAAATATAAATGGGGAAAAGGAGAAAAGAGAGAACGCCTCTAGAAAATGGAAAAGGATGTAGGTTGCATTCACCACTAAGAGAGAAAAGAAATGGAATTAGTTAGGAAAAAAGCAAAGGGAAGGCAGAGATAAAGAAAAGAGAACATGGGGAGGAAAAAACCCCAGAACATTGAGAAAGTGCAAGAGAGGAACTGGAGCCCTGCCTTCCCCTGCTCAGGCAGGAAATCCCTATGGCTCTGCTCTGGGCTTCATTTTGGTGATTAGAAAGGATGGTTATGGAAATTTGGGCCATGGAAGAACCCCATCAATATAATTTATAATTTATAATTTGTCATTTATAATTTATCATTTTCATCTACCTTCAGGAATTTGTTCCATTTGTCACCATTTTTTCCTTCACTTCCAGAGAACAAGGGACAGGACAAGAGGAAATGGCCCCAAGTTGCACCAGGAGAGGTTCAGGTTGGATATTTGGAAGAACTCCTTCACCCAAGGGTTGTCCACCTGAACTTGTGGTGCTGCATAAATAACAAAAAAGGAAATAATGCAATTTATCTAATGCTGAAGGCTGCAAACTCATTTAGTCCTCAATTACTTCTGTTACTATGACCACAGATATTTAAATGGGAGATAAATTCTTATAAAGCCAGCTGTTAATAGACACTATTAACTACAATTTCTATTGGTAATTGTAGATATTATTAAGTGTGGGAACTGATAAAAAAAGAGAAGCCTAATTGGAAAATGGAGATGAATTTCATTACAAAGGATGTGTTGATAGAACATGTCTTGTTTGGCTTCTCCAAGAACTGGACTTTAGGGCCAAGTTGTTTGGGAGGAATGTTTTCCTCACAGGGCAGGAAAAGAAATCCCCTGGAATTCTGGAGGAATTCAGATCTAGAAATCCCATTTTCAGTGCCATTGGAAGGAGAGAGGGATGGATGATGGATGGATAGAGATGGTTTCAAATTGTGTGAGAAAATAAATCTAAAAAAACAAACCTGAATTTTAAAAAGCTAAAAAAATGGAAATAAAATCTCTGCACAACAGCAGGGCAAACAAACTCCTCTGAAAGCACTCCACAAACCTGAGTTCTCTGATTTATTTCACAAATACTTGTTAGTACAACTGATCAGGATATGTAATTTTTCATGGCTGTTTATTACAATAAAATGTTCTTTTAAAATCCACATAAGCAACGTGCAACAAACAAACTGTGAGAGCTTTATGGCTGCTCCCTGCAAAGCCCCATTTATCACCAAGACTGAAGAGAAATAGCTTGAAAAGTGATATCAGAAAGAACAGGCAGGGGAAAAAAAATAAAGAATTATTTCTTTATTTTGTTATTTTCCCAAGCAGAGAGTGGAAAAAAAAAAATCAGGAAATGTTTACAATATTTGTTCTGTCATGGACAAAATCCTCATCAAAGCAAACAGTAACCCACAGGATAAACTGCAGAGCTTTTTATTTTGCAGTACTTTCACTCCATTGAAAGAGATGCTTGTAAATGTATGTTCTATTTGTACCAGATTAAACCCTAATTTCAATAAGGACTGCTTGGAAAGTGCTTTCATAGTCCCAGCGTCAAGCCCTTTTACTTTATTTTATGACTATGGCTCCACCATTCACGTTCTCTGTTCTCCCTGTGAGACCACCACACATGAAACAGGATTAAAGAGTGAATTTTGGGAAGTCTGTGGAAACAGAGCCTTCTCCAGCCTGGACACTGATGCAAGAGAACGTCTCAGTGCTGATTTCATCATCCAAAGGGATGAGAGGGAGCTTTTATAGAGATGTAAAATCTTATTTTTAGCAAATTAGCCAAGTGTCCACTTTTCAGGCTCATTACTCGCAACTGTGACAATGCATTGCTCAGTGCTGGTGGCTGCTTGATCTAGGAATAAAAATGAAGAGTACAGGAACATTAAAGGTCCTGATTATGGAATAGTGAGGCAGGGAAATCATTTAAACCCCAGGAATGGCAACATCCACCTGTGTGAGTCAGTTCAGGCCTCTCTCTGCAGTTTCCCAGCCCAGGGAGCCTCAGCTCTGGGCAGGTGGAACTGGTTTACACTCCTGGGGATCAGCTCCCCAATCCCAAAGCTTTTTCTGGATTACTGGAGTGAAATATATTCGTGGGATTATTGAAATATTCTGGTTAAATGCCCTCCTTTCATATACAGAAAGCATTCTCAGCTGGAAGGTTTCTTTCTACCAGTTTAATACAGGTGGAAGAAAATACCAGGTTGGAGGAGACCTCAAGGATCAGCTGGTCCAGACTTCCTCAGCAAAAGCCTGGGAAAGATTTACCCATGAGGAGAAAAAAAAAAAAGTGTTTTTTATTTAATAAAGAAAAGTTTCTGCTGATTTCTGAAGTTTGATCAGTGGAGTCAAGTCTGCTTGAAGGCCTCCAGTGTCCCTCCCTGCCCTGCAGAAGGGAGGAATGGCAGAATGGATGTGCAGGCAGGACAAAAAAATGTAGTTTTGGAAAAACCAACCTAGGATGTGCCAGTGGTTATAAACCACTTGTAAATAAACTAGAGCTGAGGTGGGTAACAAAACTGTCAGGGCTGAAGAACTGCCCACAGTTTGGCACAGCTGCCCAGGTTTTATTTGGCAGAAAAAAGGAGGTTTTCTCCTACCTACATGACCTATTCTGTACATGTTTAAAAATGAGCTGGTTTATCCTCCCTTCACTGATTGCTGAGGAAGACTGCATGAAAACACAGACTAGATATTCACCATGGGAGCTGTTCGAGGTGGGTGAGGACATCATGGCCAAACTGTCCTGAAGGAAATGGGGAGGGGGGTCCTGGCCTTTCCTCTCCTGTCAGAGGTGCTCCCACAAAGGCTGACAAATCCCTCTGAAGGAATTCCCTGACAAATCCCCCTGAAGGAATTCCCTGATGAAACACCCCTGAAGGACCAAATTCAGCCCTTGAGGCAGAATGCAGGGTCTAGAATCCACAGCCCAGCCCATATTGGCTGCAGCATTTATTTCTCCCCGTTATAAGTGATGGAGCTCTTGGATAAACATTCCCAGCTTTCTGTGCTGCGATGCCTGAGCAATGAGAAAGAGCTCCTGCTTCAATTTCATCTATTTATATATTCCAGAGAGCTGACTTGGGGTTTTTTACATCCCACCTTGCTCATCTAAACATGCTGCATTTGCAGAGCCAAACCCACCACCTCTGCACCTGTGGAAAGCAAAGCAGGAGAAAGGGAAAGCAGGGACACAACCCCAAATTGCAGCAATTTGCCCTCCCTTTTCAGGGCCATAACTAAACACAGAAGGTGAATTTGGGAAATGGGCCAATTATTCCTCTCACCCCAGCCTGTTGCTTCCTTGATGTGTGATCCAAGCTGGTGTTTTACTCGGATTTGTGCCTCACAGGGAAGGCAACTGCTCAGCTCACACAGGGACTTCACATTATTTGTCCTTTCAGCAAGGAAATTTCCTTCTCCTCATGATTAGGGCCATGGGTGAGTGCTGGCCTTGGCAGGGCTGGGTTAATGGTTGGACTCCATGACCTCAGAGGTCTTTTCCAAGCTAAATGATTCTGTAATTCCCAGCATCCACTCACCAGGGGATAAACCTGGCCAGAAAACCCCATGATCTGTGGGTTACTGCTGCAATGGGCAAATGGAAGGGTTTAATTTGTGCTTTCACAGGTGAGCTGTGGGGGAACAGCCCCAGGAGGTGACAGCCTTGCACAGGAGGTGATGCTGGGTGCTGACATCTGCCTGCAAATGTTTCTCTGAGAGGCAGGGAAATAGTTCTGACTTGGGAAAGCTGCATTTGTGATCAGAGGCACATTTCTGGGTGCATTTCTGCTGCCCACCACACCTTCAGCTCGACAGGAACAAAGGAAGAATATCTCTCCAACTCCCTGAACCCTCAGCTCTGCCAGGTACACAACCCCACAAGAAAGTTAAATTATTATCACCACAAACCTCCTTCCTCAGGGTGTGATGAAATCCCAGTAATGTCCTGCCTGGGCCCAGGATTGCACTCCCCTGTTGATCATGACTGCTCAGTACATTCTTTAGCCAATTACTCGGGCTCATAATTGCATTTCTGCATAATCCACTCGGATTCATTTGTCAAACACAATTTTGAGGCACGCCGTGTCGAATGCTTTGGTAAATTCTAGATGCATTCACGCACTGCCTTGCCTTCTCCCACTAATTTAGGATTTAATTAAAAAAGGAGTCATCTTTGCTTGACACGATTTGTTCTTTACATACCCACGTAAGTGATACTATTTCTAAAATTAAATACAACCCTGAACCTTACAGAGCCTCCACTGTTTTCTCTGAGGATTCACGATATCCCAGTCAACAGGATTTGCCTGGAGAGGAAGAAAACTTTAGATCCTGAAAAGCTCACGATGTTCTGTCTATTTTTGGACTTTCCTGTTGTATTTCTATCACACAGCTCACATCTGAAGCCAAAGAGCAAAATGGTTATTATTACAGAGTTTTTATATAGTTTAGATTTTTACTCTCTAATCCCCAAATATACAAAGATCTACAAAGAGTGAGATCAGACTTCTTTTTTTTTAATCATGAGGGAATATCTGGTTTATTAAGTATGACAAGGCTGTGGTTTGTCTGAAGGTATCTGAAAATGGGATAATTATCAAGGTGAATTGGATCCACATGGTTATGTCTGTATAATATTTAATATTCCAGCACCAATCTTTAACACCTTCTTGCCATTTTTGCCCTGAAATTTAAACGTTAGCAAACAATTTGTCACCAGAGAGATTCTTCATGCAGAGTTTCACCAACTTCTGTCAAAATAACTTGCAGTAAATACTTAAAAACCTACAGAATGAAAAAAATACATGTTATTTGTTAGAAGAGGAGAATGGATAGCATGTAGCAATGGAAGGCATAGTAAATCATTTCCTGCACACCAGTTCATATTTACTCATAATTATAATTCACAGGAGTGCATTCCTGCAATCAAGAGACAGGGGTGCACAGCATGAAAAAACATTTAGCACCGAGCAGACTGCATGAATAATTGCCTGTCAGAGTGGCTTATTAAAGGGAAACTACAATTTTACAAGACAATTCTTGTATCTGCTTGTCTAATCTAAAGACAGAGGGCTGTATAAATGCAGAGAGTTCAAGGAAGAAATATTTCTCACTCCGCAGTTGAGCTAAAAGTTGAGTTTTTAAAGCATTGAAAGAACAATCAGAGTGTGACAGCTCCGAGATGCACAAGCTCAGGCCTCTCTAAATTGGAAAGTGAATCCTTTGTGTTTAAGGTGGCAGCACAGGCAGGGAGATGGAGGGGATGGAAGTGTGGCCATGGAAACCACACTCCCTCCTGTAAGCAGAGGTGATGTCATGCACGGGATGTCCTTGGAAATGTCCCAGCAGATGGACCCAGAGGGTGAGAGCAACCCAAGAACCCTCCTGGGGCTGCTGCCTTCCCCAGCAGGGAATACTGGGATGACTGGAGCCTTGCAAGGTGGCATTCTCCCTGTGAGTGCTTTGGCAGGTTTGGGAGCCTCCGAGGAGTGCCTCGTGTCCCCTCTCCCTGCTGTGTGCAGGGCAGGGACAGCTCCAACATCCCCCAGAGCTGCGGGAGGCAGGAAGCTCCAAATCCTGGAAGGAATACTTCTGCTTTATTCACCCAATTAACAGGTTTCACTTCTCCTTCTCTGACTGACGCAGAAGTTCTCAGACAACAGACTGGATTTACACAGAATTAAATTTAAAACAGGATAATGCTGCAGGGGAAGATTCAAAAACTAACTTAAAAACCCCCAACAACCCAAACCAAGGAAAGGTGCCCTAAATGAATTCATGGCCTTTGGTGAAAATCCAGCTTCATGCAGCTACTTCAGCTTTTTAGAACCATCCTGGCGTTCTTTTTTTAATGGCTTTGAGGTGATTGAGGTGCACACCTGGCAAGTGGAAGAAAATAATACTTCATTAATAAAGAGCATTGAGAAACAAAGGCAAAGGTGACATTAAGAGCCTCAGGAAGAGCACCTGCAGCCCTGTGGAAAGCAGCAACATTTTGTCAGGCTTGCTTGAGTGCTTGTGATTGAGAGGTCTAAAACCTGAAACCTGTTCACTAAAGAGCTTGGCCAGAGCTAAATCCCCCCAAAATCCACGTGAGCTTTTCCATTGGTTTCAGGGAGCTTGGAGCAAGGCCAGGAGCAACAGGACAAAGGCAGCAGCTTTAAAAATGCTGCACAAAAATATCTTGCCCTTTGTTCCCACAACCACTGCTGAGACTTTAAAGCCATGTCCTGCTCCCTGCCTGGGTGCTGAGGCTGTCCTGGGTTTGATAATGGTCATAATTTGGATTTTTCACTGTGAAATACACTCAGGCAATTTATGTTAATAATCCATAGTAACAATCATCACATGGAAACATCCTGCAGTCACTGAAAGAAAGCTTTGCTCCTTTCCAAGTAATACACTTGATACTGTTTCACTTGCAAAAAAAAAAAAAAACAACAAAAAAACCCTAATAACTTTTTAAATAACAATCTGAGGGAACTTTCAGCTGAGGGATCTCTGGGAGAACACTCAGACTCCAAGAACAGGGGGCTTGGGTTAGAAAAATTATTACCAGAGTTGAACATTATAAAACTGACATAGTTTCCAGAAAAGGTTGTAAACAAATTTATTAGGACCTTTCTTCCGAGAAATACATTAAAAACAATCAAAGTTAAAAAAAAAATTAAGTTGGCCACTGAGAAATGTGTCTAGACAAAGCTTCCATTATATGATTTAACAATCCCTGGCAAATGCTGCTTAAAGATAAAATTGGATTCCTGTCCAGAATATTAATACTTTTATTGCAGAAATATGTGTATTTTAGAGATAAAAGTACATATTCATGGACAGATAGATGATGAACATTGAAAATGGCCTGGAACACAGTTTGTTTTATCAGTGTTTCTCTCTCTGTCAAACAAGTAAATCAATGTTTTTCAGGTGGAGGCTTCTGATGAGAAGGAAGATTTTCTCATTTTCAGACAAGGGCTTCTGTATTTCCATTTCAACCACTGTCAACACACATTGGTGAGTAGTTCCTGTGGCTGACACAAACAACTTTTGATTACAGAATCAGGAACAGCACTCACAACTTTCCATTTCCAAACAACTCCACATGAATAGTTTGTAAGCTGAAGTTTGGGCAGAGCCAGAGCAAGCTCAGGAATACAGATATCAGCTTTATTGTGTTTGACTCATCTCAGTGCAGGAGCCTGCTGGAAATAAAAATGTGACATTTTTCCAACATGACAGGAGAGAATTTTGAGATGTTTTCCTAAGCCAGACAAAAGGAAGGCACTGAGCATGAGATCAGCTCCTGTCTTTTTTCCAAGGAGGAACGAGTTGCTGTTTCACTGGCAGCCAGCTCCAAGCAGCTCCGTGCTCCACGTGGAGAACTGAGCCTCGTGCAGAGCACAGCAAACGCCTGTCTGCACTCTCCAGGAATCCTGGGTCTTACAGAAAAATTCACCTGGTTTCATAGAAACAGAATGGTTTGGGTTGGAAGGAGCTCAAAGCTCATCCAGTTCCATCTGCTGCCATGGGCAGGGACACCTTCTGTTGGAACCCTGGATGTTGGAAATTTCAGACTTTCTGTGCTGCCAAGCACTGACCCCCAGGAGAACTCTGCATTGACCTGAGGCCGTGGAGAAGGCTTCCAGAATGGAATGACGGAACTGGGATTGTGGGTGTGGAGTTTGGATAGAAGTGTGTGATATCACAGGGTGGGAAACTTAGGGTTTAAGGTTTTAGAATATAGTAATATTTATAAAGCAAGATGGAGGTTTAGGGTGGTAGCTGGTCCTTCTTCTTCACCTTCTTCTTGACCTTCCTCTCCATGGGTTTGGGTGGTTTTGTCTAATTGGATAAAAAAGTCCACATGGCAGGGCACAGGTGGTTGGTTATTGGATTAAAAGTAAAAATAATTTAGGTGTCATTTCTTAATTGGACAGTTTATCCTTAAAAGGCCTTGTAGAGAGAAAGATGGGGCTCCGTTTTTAGTTTGTTGGAGTGAAGTGCTGCAGAACTCAGGGTTTGTGAGACTGTGACAGAGATAAGAACTGATAAACATCCGAGTCTGAACAAGAAATACCATCTCGCACATTTAATCCTGACCTTGGCAGAAAAAACGAAGCAAAGAATCCACTGTCCCAGGCTGCTCCAAGCCCCAATGTCCAGCCTGGCCTTGGACACTTCAGGGATCCAGGGGAGAAGCCCCACATTCTCTGGGCACCCTGTGCCAGGGCCTCCCACCCTCACAGAGCAGGATTTACAGAAGATCAAGCAAGTGGCTGAGTTTGTGAGTTTGTCCCCAGGGGAAGATCACACCTCATTTTGGAGAAGCCACTTTGAGATGCTTCAGTCATTTGTGAGCTACAAGGTTAAACAGAATTATTTGGGATTTTCCAGAAGGAACTGGACCTACCATGGCAACAGCTGGAACGTGTGGAGTTGCCACCCCATCATCTCCCCTCAGATGGAACTGAAGTCTCCATCGAAAGGCAGAGGAGAGCAAAGGTTTTGTCCCAAGGCACAGCGATAAAGTCTTTTAAAAGATTCTTTAGGAAACCATCCTGCTGGTAGGAAAGCCTACTAGAGTTTGCAGTGAGAAATCCATTTAGAAATCCAGTTTTGGAGAGCAGACAAGGAGGGGTAATGGTACCACTTGCCCCCAGACCCTGCCAGTGCTGCACAATTCCCGAGCAGGGTTTGCTGAAGGCTTGGATCAATCCCATGTCAGCTTCTTGCTCTACACACAGCATCCTGGGCACCCTCCCATCCCTTCCTAACTTGGTCTTCCAAGGGCTCAGATGGATAAAATTTGGGTAGAGAGTTGATGGGATGGTTTTTTATTCCATTCAAAAATTCACATTTTATACATTGGAGGCCATTTCTGTGAATCCTGCCCAGTTCTTTGTTCCCACAATCTCATTCTCCTCGTTGCTTCAAACACTCCATATTCCAGTAAACCAGTTTTTCAAACCTTCTAACAGGTGCTAGTACATCATGTTCCCTCTCTCTGTCATTTCTCATTGTCATCTTGTATCGTTCATCAAAGCATGAGAGGGAACATTGTCTGCAGGCCGAGGAAATCATCCAATCTAACCCTGCCCCAGCTAACGTGTCACTTTTGGCCTCAGGAAAATCACATCATCAGGAGGTGAGGGAAGTGGCCTGGCATTCTGAGTTTCTCAATTTCTGAATGCCTGTCACACTTTAAAAAGCTGGCCTTAGCTCAGCTGCCTCCCCCTTGCCAATGGAGATCCTGAAACCTCCCTGGATCACAAGAGAGAGTTAATGTTTGTTCAGTGCTTTCAAAATGTTAAGTGCAACCTGAGTGCTGGGCCTTATTACCAGGAATAATGGATGTTTGCAACTCCAGCCTGCACTCTTCTGTGTCATCATTATTTGGCTTCTAATAAGGAACAGCTTTACCAGAACACAGTCCCAGAAAACATCTTTGGAAAATGCTTTTTATTTTCATTGTGAGCTTGAACACAGATTTCACATCACAGATGTGTTGGGGTTGATATAGTTAAACTTTACTGCCTCTCTGGGAATGATTCATCCCCGACTTGTTACATCCAGCTTTTTGCTTTGTCAGTTATATTTGAATTTGTCTGAGAGTTTTATAAATTGAGTTCATAATCTCATTTTGAGTGTAGATATCAAATATATGAAAAATGTACCAGTAAACACCAACAGAAAAACCTGACAACAACACAAACCCTTGTATTGCTGGTTATTCACAGGTGTTGCAAAGAGGAGCAGGTTGCCACAACAGTGAACTCTGAGCTGATTTGTATTTTAGATTAATTTGTACAACCCTTTCCCTGAACTGCTTTGGGCTTGACTGTAAAATTTGCAAAGATATTCCTGACTCTGTTGCTATTTACAAGAATTAAAGCCCAGTTTGTGCAAGGAACTGCTAAAAAATTAACTTTTGTGTGCTTCTGGAGTTAACAACATGACTCTCATATGAGTGAGGTTATCTTCCTCCTGTTAGGAAGTACTTTCACTAAGAATAAAAAAGTTTATTTAGATTTGATGAAATTTCTGGCTGCAGAGAGTTGGAGAAACCTGCAATTGCCAAGAGGATTTCAGCTGCCTCAGTCCTGCAGGAATGAACATCCTGGGAAGGGTGAGGGAATAAAAAAAAAACCTGTAGGGAAGGAGCTCATGCGTCAATGCCCAAGACATCACATAAAATGTCCTGATGGTGATGCCTGAGATGGTTCTGACAAAAGATCTGCTCTTTATGTAAATGGTGTTTATTCAGAGCACACAGTGCTAGCACTGACCCACCATAAATCTCCCTGAAGAATGCAGAACCTCACACTCTTGCATGGTCAGAAATCAGATTTCCCCCTTTTGTAGACATGAAGCTGCTTCCATTTATTGTGGCATTGTAAAGCACTTTTTATTACAGAGCACAGGATGAAACACCAGGCTATAAATGAAGCTGTATCCATAATAATCCCATCCTTCCAAAACCCACACCACTGTGGGAGCCCCTGTGCATTTGTAAAGAGTACCTGGGAGATGTTCACACATCTGCATCCAAACATCCAACCCCTCTGAAGATTCCTTGTTTTCTATCATTTCCAGCAGCACAGTGTGAAGGAACATAATTTAGGAAATAATCCTTTTCATTATGTACAGCCAAGCTCCATTTTTTAGGCTAAAATATAAACAGTTTAATAAAATAATATTGCTTAATAAATTAGTATCTTCAGCTCCTTTCTGGACTTCTCTCTGAAAGAAATAATTAATCACCCTCTAAATCCCTAATAGCCCCATAATCTCTGAATATAAAAATTCAAATGCTGGGAGGCAGAAACTGCTGATGGAGGCAGCAGCATGGAAGGAGAGATGCTCTCTTTAACCCTTCTCAAAGAGCCTAAAGCAGTGCAATGACTGCAGTGCACATGCCAGGAGCTAAATAAATTCAAATGTTGGCTTTGAACCCTTCTGCTGGCAAATGCAGCCCTGCATGCAGCACGTTGGGCATCCCAAATGTCATCCCGCTGGAATAAAGCTGAAGACACATCCAGAGATAATCAAAATGCTTCTATGAAAGTGAGAGGAAGAGGAAAGATCACTGAGCAAAAAACCACAGAAATTCCCTCCAGCTTTGTCAAACTTTGTCCAGGTTTGTGAATGCCACACCTTGGCTGACAGAAGGCAGCAGGGATGTCAAAGGAAATGCAGTTTTGGCTTCTTAATTCTCCCTGAAAGTGGTTCACTTTCACCTGCTACAGCTCCCAAAGCTATTCAGACATTTAACAGCTATCTGCTAAGCCAAGGCTGAAGTCATTTTTGCAACACAAACTCGTAAATTTAATTTTATTTCCGTTCTGATTCATTGCAATACATTGTAAACTAGAGCATTTATTAAAAGCCTCTTCCCACCAGGTGTAAAAACTTATTTTGTGAACACCCAAACATAGAACACGCAGCCAGTCACAGACACAGAGGTCATTGACCCTCATGGAAATTACAGCAAAAATAGATGATCAGCAGCTGGAGTGGAAGCCATAACATTTCCAACAAAATATCTTTAGTGCAAACAGAAAAGCCAAAAAGTGATTACATTATTTTTTTTTATAAGTCCACCCATCTCCTCCTGGGAGGAATATTTCCAAGAAGAATTTGCACTGTGGGTGTACAACAACTGCTTTTGTGTTTTGTCTGAAAATGCTGAATTTACCTACAAGGCCTGTCAGTGAAAAGAAATGACTACAAAAACTTGTGATATTTAACTGAGATGGAACAAACATTCCCCTGGTGTAGTCATCTGCAATAACCATGAAACAAATCTTGATCATATTTGTACATTGATGGAATATCTCTTTTTTATTGCAAATCTGTCTCAAGCAGGGCAGCAACTCTGTTTCCATTCATCCTTTTGAAAAGATGCTGTGACAAGAATTTCAAACACCATTCATGGCCAAATACTGCATTTGGATTTCTTGGAACTAAGAAATGAAAAGGAATGTTCCTTTGCTCCAAGAGAAGTGTCTCCAATTCCGTGTGATGCATTAAAAACATCAGATGAGAACCCCAAGAGCTGACATAAGGATGTGATAAAACTTTCAGGTTTTATGGAAAGAAGCATTTTTCAGTTTCCTCTTAATAAATGAAAAACCCACATGCACAGTGCAAAGAAATATATTATGTCTAAGCATGTAAAATATGTCAGCTTGAACATTTTACAGTTTAATGAAAAATTGTTTTTTCAGGACAGTTTATATTACGTTTGCTGGAGAAAAAATAAAAACCTTTTATTTTCTCCATATCACAGTCCAAAAATTACCATTTTTTTCCTAGCTGTAAAACCCCAGCATTGGGATATTTATGCATTGTGAATTAGAAGCATTTTTTACTGGCTATCAAAATTTTAATAGCATTAGCTCTACTTGTAACACATTTTCATTAAAATGAGAATGTGGAAAGCAGTAAAATGAATATAGACCCTCATCAGTAGCAGTGAGGCTTTACGGTGGTCACGGGATCAGCTGGGTTATATTTGTTACAGATCTTGGTCAGACAACAGGACAAACCCCTTCTCTTTCACTGACATCAACATTAAATTCTGCTATTGAATGGATTTAATATGTAGAAGTTATAAGTAATTCTTTAACTTTCATTTTATTGAACCTGCTGCTTCCTGCCTTAGGCTTGTACTTGACCTTTGGTGTCCATAAAATTCCCATTTAGTGCAGATATAGAGGTAAGCTGGGACTAAGGAGTGCCAAATTTTGGGGGAATTTAATTTAACTCTTGGTTAACACCTGAAGAAAGCTTGGCAGCAGCACATTTCTCATGAAGGGAAACACGAGTGCTCCCTTGGCCTCCCTCAAAACAGAAACAAACACACTTCAGCTTTGAACCTTGAGGCCCAGAAAGGACAGACTGCAGCAATAACTCATTTATTAACTAATACAGGTTTAAATTAACATCAGTGTGCTGCTTTGTGTCCCCTCTCACACCCCGGACCTGCAAAGCCACCACGGTTCCATGGAAGTGATTCCTGGTTATCAGTGATGTAAAAGTCAATCAGCTTCCAGATTTACAGATTGTTCCAGTAATAGCCTCAAAAATCCCTAAAGCACCTGAGGCCTGAGCAGCTCTGGCAGTTTTGCTGCATGTATTTAGGAGCACCACAAAAATAACTCGCCAGTTGTATAAAAGGGTGTAATATTCATAGCTGGAAATAAATATTATTGCTTTTCCCTTTCCCTGCTGTGGAAAACCAAAGGTGACAACAGGCACAGAGGGAACACATCCAGTATTCCAGTCAATTCACTTTGATTTCCCCTTATGAAAATAAAGGTGTGAAATCAAAGAGCTCCCTTGTAAGTTGTCTTTGGGAAGGCTCTAAATCATTGATCCATTAGAGCAGGATAACGAGGACAAGCCATGGCTTTGAAAACCCTTTGATATCCTCACTCCTGGGCAGGATGAACAAGGATGCAGCAGCTGGCTCATCACAACCTCCCGGGATTCTGCAGGACAGCTACAACAAAACCTGCATGAGTTTGAACATGCTGGTGATGTCCTGGGAAGCCAATCCCAAGGGTGGGAAAAGGGGAGGTAAAAGGAAAGAGGAGCAGACTCGTTCAGGGGTCTGAGTGCTTATCTCAAAACCTGACAGCAAAATGCTGTTGCAGAAACTGCTCCTTTGCCATCCACACTACACAAGAAAATAAGGAGAAAAAAGATTCAACCCTGGATCCATCTTAATCCTTAAATTTGTGCTAAAGGGCTTCCCCTTTGGCAGAGGACTAATCCTACCAAGTGACAGCCAGTCACTCATTTCACTTCTCTTTATTCCTATTAAGTGTTAGCCCTCTGCTGTTCCTTGACTTTTACACACTTTATCTTCTGTTTCCTAAAGGCTTAAAAAAATATAAAAAATTAAATCACAGTCCTGGATGTCTCCAAGACTACAGGGACTGGTAACAGGAAGTTCACTTCCCTCGCTTGTTGTTTTGTAATCATTTATTCCATACTTAATTAGCCAGGAGATGCTAGATTTGGACAAGATTTTGGGCTTGGGTCTAGAAACCAGAAAGTTTATAATCTTTAAACCCTGTTCAACCTGGCCTTGGACACTGCCACGTATCCAGGGGCAGCTTCTCTGGGTACCCTGTGCCAGGGCCTGACAGCCAAAAATTCCTAATTCCCAACATCCCATCCATCCCTGCCCTCTGGCAGTGGGAGCCATTCCCTGTGTCCTGTCCCTCCATCCCTTGTCCCCAGTCCCTCTGCAGCTCTCCTGGAGCCCCTTCAGGCCCTGGCAGGGCTCTGAGCTCTCCCTGGAGCTGCTCCTCTCCAGGTGAGCATTCCCAGCTCTCCAGCCCAGCTCCAGAGGGGCTCCAGCCCTTGGTGTGCATCCGTGGCCTGCTCTGGACTTGGTCCAGCAGCTCCGTGTCCTTTTCATGTTGGATCCCAGGGCTGGAGGCAGCTCAGCAGGTGGGGCCTCACCTGAGTGGGGCAGAAGGAGAGAATTCCACATTTTCATGGTGTGGGATCAGTCCAGGACTCGAGTTTTTTTCCCCACACGGCCAGGGCATGTCCAGCTCTGACCACCCCCGAGCCGTTCTCCCAGGGCTGCTCCATTGCTTCACCCACATCCCGCATCCCTGCCGGGGCTTTTCCCGGCCCAAGGCACTCAGCCTTGTTTAACCCCACCATATCCTCATGGTCCCACTTCCCGTGTTGTCCAGCTCCTCATGGCAACCTCCAAAGGCGCACCCTGCTCCAGCTATGAAACACTGGAAAAAACCTGTGTTTTAAAACCGCGGCTCCGGGGAGAACGCGGACATAAACTTTCGGGCAGAGCACGACCGGGAGCACCTGGGACATAACCGGGGATAGGCGGGGAGGTACCCGGGACACAACCGGGTACACCTGGGACACAGCCGGGGAATGAGGCAGGGAGGTACCCGGGACACAACCGGGTACACCTGGGATTTAACCGGGTGCACCCGGGACACAGCCAGGACTAGGCGGAGGGGCAGCACGAATAAAGCCGGGGCAGGAGGGCGCTCCCTTTGTGCGGAGCCGCTCCTGTGGCCGGCCCGGCCGCGGAGGGGACGCTGAGGGGCGGCGGGCCGGGCTGGCTCCGCCCGCACCACATGACTCCGCCGTCGGGAGAAACTTTTCCCGTCCCGCGGTCGGAAAATGGCGGCGTAGGGAGCGGGGCTCTGGCATCCCGGCGGCTCCCGGCGCCATGACCCGCTGGGTGCCCACCAAAAGGGAGGAGAAGTACGGCGTAGGTGAGGACGCGCCCGCCCCGCTCCCGCCTGTTGCGCCCAGGGGCACCCCCCGGCCGCGGCCTCCCCGTCCCCGCCCGGCTCCGCGCTCCGCTCCGGCCGGGATGGAGCGCGCTGTTCCCCCCGAGCCCGCTCCGGTTCCTGCCTCCCCCTCCCGGCTCCCAGGAACTTGAGGAGTTGTCTGGGAACGCCGTGCCCCGCTGGGAGAAGTTGCCTTTCTCCCCGCGTTCCTGCGGCTCGCCGGGCGCTGCGCGCAGCGAAGAAGCTCCGAGTTGTTTTCACGGCGGGTTCTTTCTCCCCGCGGCGGAGCGGGGTGCGCTGCCCGGCCGTGCCCTGAGCGCTGTCCCTCTCGGTTCTGCCGGGGTGTGATGCTCATACAGATCAGGGCTTCCCCTGCGCGCTGGGATCCATTTCCTAGCCCGCTCCTTCCGTCCCTCTGGAACAGAGGGGGATTGTTCCCGGCTGGTGGCTCGCACATCCCCGCTGGGACCAAACGGGACCAAAGCCCGGGAGGGCCCTGCATGACTTTAAACATGTTGGTTTTGGAGCAAAAGGTTTTATTTCGGGAGTGCGGCGCAGAAAACTTTATTGGTGTGAATGAGCGTTTGTCTGGGGGAAGGAAATAATCAATCTGACTGTTCAAATTGGAAACGTGAAGTTCAGTGCCCACCGCAGTTCTTGGGCTGGATTGGTTGTGAAGAACAACTTTTCATAGAAACCTCATAAACAAAGCTAGCAGGAAGAAGGGAGTTTCTGGGGCTGAGTAAAACGTGAATGAATTGTAGGAATTAATTTTAAAATCTGTGTGTGTGTCCCCAGAAAACCATAGCTTGGCTTTAAAAAATTATTAGAAAAATCGCAGTTCCAGTGTGTGGTTAATTCCAGCATCGAGGATGCAGGACAAGCACAGGGAAGCAGAAGTGCCACTGATGGCAGTCCCTCATTATGTTTCCAAATTATCTGCCTGGTGGTGTGGGATGGGTATTTCGGAATGACTGAATTGTCACGTAGTATAAACTGATGTTACAACCCAGTGCCACTCGAAAGCAAGTTCCTCTTTTGCAGGAACTCTGTGTCTGCTGCTGTGGTGGGGCTGACTGCCCGGGCCTGCTTTCCAGGAATGTCTTGAAATAGATTTGAAATAGATTTGAAATAGTTTTGAAATAGATTTGAAATAGACATGAGAGAAGAAAGTGTGAAATTGACTTGATGGTTTCATAACAGTTTAAATGTACTGGCATCTCCAGTGTGGGGGATTGCATGTGTGGTAAGAAAACTGGATTTTAATGTAGTTTCAGAATAAAAAAAAACCCCTCCCAGTTTGAAAAAGCCCAGTGGGATGTGCTTAGTTGGTATTTTTTGTGTCCACTGCTCTGCAGAGAAGTTTGTAATGGTTTTACAATAGATTTATGTTTCTCTGATAGTTTGTTTTCTTTTTCCTGCTAGGAGGCTGAGATCCTCACCAAACTGGGGGATTTCTCTGCTGCCCGACAGGGATCTGAGGGTTGCAAGGAGATAAATCAGATTTAGAGCTAATTACACATTGGATTCACTGGCCTGTGCCGTGCTGTTATAGGCTGCTTTGGGAGAGATAGCTTCTTTTTGGCGTCCTCCAAAAGAAAATGAATATTCAGTTTGGTTCTAAGTGTTTTATGGACCTTTATGTTGTTAAGGAAGGGCACTGTGAGCCTTCTAATGTTTTATTTTTTGCTGCTTGTGAAAGCTGGAGATTGTGGAGAATTGATGGAACAGTTGCGTAGTCCCAAACAGAATTGGAGACAGCACTGTTAACCTGGAAATTTGGACTTGGGAATATTTTTCTTACTATTTGCCATGACCAGTCCTGGGGCTGACGTTGACTCAGTATTGTCTGCCAGGGAGAAAATCCCTAATAGGAATGCTAATGGGACTTAGTGAAACATAATGTACAGCGCTTTGGGTGTCTCATCAATCCATGCAAATATCTCCAAAAGGATGGTGCCAGGCTCATTCCAGGGTGAGGAGCAGTGGCCATGGACTAGGCCAGGAGAAGTTCCACCTCACCATGAGGAAGAAGTCCTCTCCATGAAGGGTGGCAGAGCTCTGGAACAGAGGAGGGAGGGCATGGGGATGTCCCAACCCACTTGGGAGTGTTCCTGTGTCACCTGCTCCAGGTGGCAGGTGGGATGGACTGGATCATCTCCAGAGGTGCCTTCCAACCCTAAATATTCTGGGATTCCGTGTGCGGGTTTCCCCAAGCAGAAATCTCAGGAAGATGTGAAGTTCTGGTTATGTTCAGGTCACAGCAGTGGGAACTCAGAAATGTATGTGTGTCTCTGTATATAGAGATGTGCACATTTAAAATACAGACCTGTGCTTATATAACACATTTATATCCCTTCTCCCCCTCCTCTGGTGTATCCCTGTGCCCAGCAGAGTTTTCTTAACATCTCGAGACTTGGTTTGCTGGCTGTGATGCAGCTGCATCAGTGATGCCAAGAAGCCTGCAGTGGCAGCTGGTGGGACACAGGTGTGCTGAGGAGCATTCCCGGTGGCACCGTGGGATTTGGGGATGCTGCTGGATGCCCTGCCTGCCTGCAAAGTGGATTTGCTGCCCTGAGCCTCTGTGCAGAGGCATTATCTCAGCAGGCAGTTGAGAGAGTGACTCAGCTCCGCTTCCTGAGAGAGTTCAGGGCTCGCTGCAGGAGGAATGGGTGTGGATCTAATGGGATAATACGGATATTAGGGTAACATGTGGGGAGCCAGGCGGAACAGGGACATGAGCAGCTTCGTTGGAGGAGCTTTTCCCTGCTCCCAGTGCTGCAGATCCTTGTCCTTCATCTCAATCCTGCCTTTCATCCCTCGCCCTGAGCTGGTGGGGAGGAGTGGGGCTGTGTGGAGGGGACCACGTGGGTCTGTGGCTTCCTCCACGGGGACATCAGTGGCTTCCAGAGAGTCCCGAGAGCTCTTTGTGTCCCCTTGGTGTCACAGAGTGGCTGTGGAGTGTGGCTGCTCAGCCTCCCGTTCCCTGCTTTTGGTGTGATGGGAGCTTTGTACTTCTGGTGGTTCTCCTTCTGCTGGGGAAAAGGGATGTAAGGAGCTGCTTTGGGAAGTCTGGGAACCTGACCAGCACCTCTGAGGTAGTGGACATTGGCTGTGGTAGCTTCCAAATCCTGAATTCTGCTGTTCTTTTCCCCCTTTTCCTTTGGGCTGAGAACTGCAGTGAGAGGTAGAACTGGTGCTACTGTGGTTAAAAATATGGTATTTAAAATACCTTTGTGTTCAAAGCTTTGTGTATGGAGTAATCAGACCACTATGTGGTAGTTAATTCCTTTTTTTCAAAATTGAATAAATGGTGAAACAGAAGATTAGTGCCACTTGCCCTTGGGTGGTCTGATGCAAAAGGAGAACTTCCCAGTTACTGAGCCTGAGTCCATCCCTGGAGTGTCCAAGGAAGGACTGGATGTGGCACTCAGTGCTCTGGGCTGGTGACAAAGTGGGGTTGGGGATTGGACTTGGACTTGATGGTCTTGGAGGTCTTTTCCAAGTTCAGTGAGTTCCAGTATTTTTGTTTGTTCCTGGTGAGTTTTTGTTGTGTGTCACAACTTGGCAAATCATAACAAGCCTAATTTTAGATGGGGACATTGGCCTCACTTCATAGTCAGAGTGTTTCAGTGCCTCCCTGAGATTGGGATAGCTTTTCCAAAGGGGTTTATGGAAGTACCTTCACACCAGGTACATAGAAATCTATACATTTTATTATTAGGGGAGGGCTTTATTTATTATTAGGGGAGGGCTTTAAGGAGTTGGTGGACTAAGAGGTGATACAGTGGTCATGATTTAAAAGTTTTTCAGCTGAGTTTTGATCTTTTAATGTCTCTTTGAACAGGGGGATGAGAATTTGTCAAGAGGAAAGCTGGTGAAAGCACAGACTATCCTACAGCAGAGCACTGCTGCTTCAGGGAGGACTGTGGTGCTTTAGGACAGGTTTAAGGCTTTTGTGGAAGCCTGGAGTCACAGTCCAGGCTGTGGAGAGCTGTGGTGGCACTTGGGGACTCTTGTTTAAGGAGATGATCTTGTGCACATTTGTGCCTTGGAGCAGGGAAGGAAACACTTGAAGGAAATTGAAAAAGATGGATCTTGGGAATGCATTTTGGTGATTTTAGTGATGCTGTGCTGTGAGGTTTGGAGCTGCGTGGCAGGACAGGTGACTGCTGTTAGTGACAGCAGGGCTGTGCTGTGACACATCCCAAACCCGTGGAGCAGAAGTGGAAGTGTAAAATGTCCATGGGGGATTTGCTGCTGCATCGATCAGAGTATTGGATGAGCACATGCAGGTTCAGATTCCTAGAGCCAGCACATCCCCTGGACACCCAGGTCAGGGTGTGTTACATCCCCTGGACACCCAGGTCAGGGTGTTGTGTGAGAAGCTTTGGGGTAGGTCAGGGTGTGTTACATCCCCTGGACACCCAGGTCAGGGTGTTGTGTGAGAAGCTTTGGGGTGACCTGTGAGCACATGCAGGTTCAGGTTCCTAGAGGCAGCACATCCCCGGGACACCCCGATCAGGGTGTTGTGTGAGAAGCTTTGGGGTGACCTCAGAGTGGATTTATAGTATTTGAAGGAACTGAAAGATGGAGAGACTCTCTACAAGGGATGGAGGGACTGGATAAACGGAGATGGGTTTAAAGTGACAGTGAATAGATTTAGATGGGATATTGGTAAGGAATTCTTCCCTGTGAGGCTGTGGAGGGGCTGGGATGGAACTCCCAGAGCATCTGTGGCTGTCCCTGGATCCCTGGCAGTGCCCAAGGCCAGGCTGGACATTGGGGCTTGGAGCAGCCTGGGACAGTGGGAGGTGTCCCTGTTATAGATGGGGTGATATTTATGATCCCTTCCAACCCAAACGATTCCATGGTTCTATTTTCCAATATCCTCTAATTCCCTGCTTACATTTCTGTGCTGCCCCATCCTGGCACCTCCTGAAGCAGGGGGCAGGGGCTGGAAGATGCACCACCCTTTTCCT